ACCCACCCACGCACACCCACCCACGCAATCGCATATTTATGAACCGATTTTTTTTAATTGATACCAAAATGTTGCAAATTTTTCGGAGATGGCGACGATGTAGTTTTTTTAAGTTTTACATCCCCACCCACCCACGTATTCACACATTAATTGATCGATTTTTTCGAAATCAATACCAAAGTTTTCTAAATTTGTCGAAAATGGCACTATATGATTTTTTTTAATTTGTACAAACCTATCCACCCACCCACGCACTCTCTCATTAATGGACCGATTCCCTCGAAATTGGTACCAGAATTTTGCAAATTTTTCGGGGATGACAACGATGGCAATTGTTTTAAGTTTTACACCCCCACCGACGCACCCACTTACGTGCGTGCGCATTTATGGACCAATTTTCTCGAAATTGGTATCAAAATAATGCAAATTTTTCAGGATAGGCCACTATGTATTTTTAAAATGTTAAAATTTTTTTATTTTAGAGAAAGCACTGTTTTCGTAAAAATTTTTTTTTTCGGATTTCTATGCCAGTGTGTTCAAAATGCTCCAAAACATCAGAAAGTAACTTTTTTCAAACTTTTATTTTTATTTTTTTTTAATTTTGTGTGTATGAATGCATGTATGTGTACATTTAAAATGTAAATGTCTCAAGAAGTATTTGATTTACAGCGCTTAAAATTAGCATACAAGTAAAGTAGTACAACACTTTTTTATAAAAATTTATATAGTATTTTATTTATATTAAAATTTTTAATTTTTCGAGAAATGTCTGTTGCTCTAACTTTGGTAAATTTTAAGATATCGGGATCAATTGTTTTGTATAAATAGATTAGCATTGAAAGTTGGTTGGTATTGAATTTGATGAGAATCAATGAAAGAATTCATTTTTTTTAATTTTGAATTTTTAAGAAACGTTTTTAATTGTTCTAATTTTAATAAATTTTAAGATATTTGAGTAATTTTTTTTACGTAAATAAGTTATTAATAAATAATGTTTGGTATTGAGTTTTGTGATGATCGATGAAAAATTTTAATTTTTATAAAATTTTAATTTCTAAAAAATACACATTTTCTAGTTTTCCTAAATTTGAGATATCAAGCTAAAAGCTTTCACCTCGAAAAATTTGCAACCGTATTTTGGTACCATTTTCGAGAAAATCGGTCCATTAATTAAGGAGTAGTTCGCGGTCAGACAGACAGACGGTATTTGTATATATGTATATATATATATATATATATATATATATATATGTGTGTGTGTGTGTGTGTGTGTATAGCTAGCTTTTAAGCTCACGAAAAAAATATTTTAAAAATATATTAAAAATATATATAAAAATATATTCTCTTGCATTTATTTATTTATTTCCGTAGGAGGGTTAAAGGATTATTGAAATTAAATCTCAAATATGAGATTATTTCATATTTGAAAATCTTGGCTGTGATCAAGTAAAATTTGGTGCCTTGTGCACAGATATTTAATTCTAACGAAAAAATTTAGTTTCGTTGGGATAACGCACTGTCTTCCGCGATTGGCTCTTATTGCCTGTCTTACACTTTAAATTTATATTTATATTACAGAGCCTTGTTAAACTCTTAACTTAAAATATTATATTTAAAAAAACGTTAGATATAGGTCTTGAAGCCCGCGTGAAGCTCGAGTCGAAATAATTATATGTATACTATTTAAAAATACAGAGTTTGTCAGTTTGTTTGTCCTCGCAATAATCTTTAAAACACGTAGACCGATTAAAATGAAATTTTAAGGATTGATTCTTTATAATCTTGGGGGTGTTATAGGCTGCGTAATATGTTCTTCTGAAAAAATTTTTTTGGGGGTGAATATGCATCAAAAAAATGTTTTTCAGCTTTTAATGTCAATGTATTCGAAATGTATTAAAAATGTCGAAATTCGGCTGTGTAAGAATATTCTTTTGAGAAAAAAATTTTTGAGGGGTGAATATGCATCAAAAAAAGTTTTTGTCAAAAAAATCAAAAGTTAAATCAGTTTAATGTCAAAAAAATATCAAAAGAATTTTCTCAGAAGAATATATATAAAAATTTTTTTCTCAGAAAAATATATATAAAATCCTTAAAATTTCGACCTTTTAATACATTTCGAACACATTGACATTAAAAGCTGAACAAATTTTAACACAGTCTAACACTCCCAAGATGATAAAGAATCAATCATTTATTCAAATTTCATTTTAATACGTCTATATTTGAAATGAATCTTAAACATCGATAATACAAATCTATCCAACTGACAAACTGTGTTTTTATATAAATAGTATAGATAAACTAATAATAAACTCTATAAATAAAACTAATAAAAATAAAAATATAACTTCTATTAATCATTCGACCTGACTGGCCAATACAAATTGTTAAATACTAATACATTAGTAATCCTACATCTTTCTAATTGACATCTTGAAAGTAACACTTGATAAGGATCCGTACCCAAGGGTCGAAACTTTGCGTATTAACAATTTATATTGGCCAGTCAGGTCGAATAATTAATAAATTATATTTTTATTCATCACTGGCGACTTTATTTTAACTATTTGATATCTAAAAATAAATTATAAAAAAAGTAAAATCTTTGAGGAATATTAGCTTTGAGGTCCGCGCTTCGCGCGGGCCTCAAATCGCTAGTTAATTATGTTATTTTCGTTCATTATTGTACATCTTTTATCGATAAAACAATACATATAGAGATTCTTATATTTTTATTCTTTTGAATTAAGTCGTCACTGTCAACGCGGACTTGGCAATTCAATATGTAGAAGCCATCAATGAGTTGTAACACCTGAAGGAGAGGTTTTTGGACTAATGTTTATAAGAACTTTTTTTAAGACAATCCCAATCTAATCCTTGATTTTGGTCAACTATTTTAAGACCTTGGATACAGGTATACCTTGACTGCAAAAGTTATTTTGATTTTAGTTTTTCAGTCTACGCCTGCCAAGCAATAGATTTTAAAATTTGATTATTTATTGATCTGTCTACTCGTATTTATCTCAGATTATATAACCTTGTAACAATCATTTATTCCACAACTTTGTTTATGACTTCCTTCTTTTGTTTACTAAAATTTATTTAATTCTTGAAACTCTCTCTCTTACATTTACTATCCGTGCTGACTTTTGCTAATCCAAAAAATTTGAAATGTTATGTATATACACTGCCATTTAGGTCTAATATACTAGCCTAGGAAATTTAAATTTGTATTTTAGTTGAAAATTTAATTTATTTAAAAATATTGTATCGGCTCTCGGAATCAATACATAATATACCCAAGTGGAAAATAGTTACTGGCGAAGTAATGGCCTAGTACCGATTTCTATTACTAACAATAAGTATTGGCACTATATTGGTACCGATTTCCAGAGAATCAATCAATTAAAACGTGAATGTGTGGGTGGGTGCATGGGTGGGAGTGTAAAATTAAAAAAAAAACATCTAGTAATCATCCTCGAAAAATTTGTGAAATTTTGGTACCAATTTCGTGAAAATATGCCAATAAATGTGTAAGTGCGTGGGTGGATGGTAAAATAAAAAAAAGCATCTAGTAGTCATCCCCGAAAAATTTGCGAAATTTTGGTACCAATTTCGTGAAAATCGGTCCATAAATGCGCATATGCGTTAGTGTATGCGTGAGTGGGCAAAAACTAAAAAAACCACACAGCAACCACCCCCGAAAAATTTGCAACATTTTGGTACCAATTTAATGAAAATCAGTCCATAAATGTGGAAGTAGTTTGCGGTCATACAGACATACAGACAGACAGACGGTACTTACATATATATACTAGCTTTTTGGCCCGCGCTTCGCGTGGGCCTCAAAGCTTTTACCCAACACTGACCCCGCTCTTATTAGTTTTCACACAATTTTTTATTTTACAAAACCAAAGATATATAATATTTAATGATACTTATTAATAATATTTAATATCTATTTGTCTGTCTATTTGTCCGTCCGTCTGTCTGTCTGTCTGTCGTCGTCATCCCCAAAAATTTTCAAGATTTTGGTACCGAAAATAAATCAATATGTGTGAGTGCGTGGATGGAAGTTTTACATACAAAAATTTTATTTTTAAATGTGATTTCTCGATTGGAACATTCTGAACACATTGGTATAGAAATTTGCAAAAAATTTTTTTCGCGGAAACATAGCCTCCTCTATAGTAAAAAAAATTTTTTAATTAAAAAAATCACCATCTCACACTGCCCAAAAAATTTGCAACTTGTGTATATATAGATATAAATAGATATCCAATTTCGAGAAAATTAATCAATAAATGTATGAATGCGTGGGTGGATGCGTATGTAGTAGTGTAAAACTTAAAAAAAACACATAGTAGCGATCCCCGAAAAATATGCAAAATTTTGGTATCAATTTCAAGAAAATCGGTCTATAAATGTGTTGGTGCGTGGGTGGCTGCGTAGATGGGTGCATGGGTGATTGAATAGGGTGGTAAAAATTTTTAAAAATCATATAGTGGCCATCCCCGACAAAATTTTAGTACAAATTTCGAAAAAATCGGTAAATAAATGTGCGAATGCGTGGGTGGATGTGTGAGTGGGATAAAACTAAAAAAAACCACATCGTCGCCATCTTCAAAAAATTTGCAACATTTTGGTACCAATTTCAAAAAAATCGGTCCATAAATATGCGTTTGCGTGGGTGGGTGCGTGGGTAGAGGCGTAAAACTTACAAGCAATCATCATTATCACCCTCCCCGGAAAATTTGCGAAATTTTGGTACCAATTTGATGAAAATTGGTCCACAAATGCGGAAGTAGTTCGCGGTCAGACAGACAGACAGACAGACGGACGGTACTTAATTATAGATACATATGTATATACAATATATATATAGTTTTAATTTATTTGTTGTTAAATAACTTGTAATTTACTAAAATATGATTTTATCATTTATTTATTGGTAACATTACTTCCATTGAATGAATAAATATGATATTTTTGTCATGTAGGAACGTTTACTACTACATCAACTACTACAACGAAGCTACATCGTAAAATGGAAATCCAAGCCTTAGACAAATCAGAATCTGATAATAATGATGGTAAGAGAAAAGTTTTTTTAAATATATTATCTTATTCCCAGATAACCACAGTAATTATTATGACATCATTTTGATGTCAAAATGCATCATTTTGATGGTAAATGATGCATTTTGATAAAATAATGTCATAATAATTACTGTGGCTATCTGGGTTATAATATATATATATATATATATATATATATATATATATATATATATAATATTATGTAATATGTAAATATACGTATATTTATTATATATTCAAGTAATTATATATGTATATTTGAATTCTAATAAAAATGGTTCTATTTAATTTCAGATAACTCTGCTGGCTACGTGTCAATTAATCTTCCATTATTATTTATACAATTAGCAATTTTCATTTCATCAATAATTCAATAGGTAAATTTAATATTATAATACGCATTAATTTTATGTTTTGTATACGTGTGAGTGTGCGTATGTGTGTGTGTATGACACTCTCCCGCAAAATAAATGGCTACCAAATTTAGCACAATTTTTTGACATCTTTGAATTTAATAACTCAGTAAAAAGTATTATATTGAAATAAATCAACGCTTAAATTAAAGCCCAAACATTTCATTTAATAACACGCAGTGCTTAGATGAATTTAAAATCAGCTAGATAAAGATTTAATAAAAACATGTAAATGCATTTTAGATAAGATAAATTCGTTTAAATATATCTAAATAAAAGATAAAATTATATGGCGATGCATCTAGATAACTTCCAGATAATATTTTTTTGAGACCGTTTATGTAAATACAGTTATAAAAAAATGTAAAAATATATTTATAGTTTTATTTATAAATTATCCATTACTGCTGAAGTTCTACTAATTAAGTATTCTTTTGTGCTATGACTTTAAACCAAATTATCTGAATATTATTCTAGATAATTTCGTGAAAATAATACTTTTTTTCATCTAAGATGCAGGTATATATATATGTATAAATGATACATTTATTATCTATATAAAGATAAGATGACGCCAAGATTTTATCTAAATGATTATCTATATAATTTTATTTAGATAACAGTAAACACTGATAAGAAGAAAAACTAAAATTGAATTATAATAAATGTTTTACAAAATATCGAACGTTAAAGATAGACATAAAAAATGGGGAAAATGTCTCTTTAAATTTTTGCTTAGTTCAGAAGAATCGGCTCTCAGGTATAAAAAATATGAGTTTTAAGCTCATTACTTTGCTAACAAATCCATATTTTAAACATTTTTCTACAATTTTTTGTTTTGACAAAATTAAGTATACTCTGTTTTGAAGAAAATGTTGCAAAACAGATATTTTCTTGTAAAATCTGCAATTTAGATAACACACATACACACACACACAAATTATCATGAAAAACAAATTAAAATATAAACTTTGAAGATATATTAAAAAATAAACTTCAAATTTTTAATCTTTTTGCCAATAATAAACACAAAAAATTGCCGGTAATAAACATTTATAATGATATAATTTTTTTGTTTATTATCGATAAAAAGGTTATAAAATTTAAAGTTTACATTTTAATTTTTTTTTTGAACAAATTTTTCATGATAGTTTGTTTCTAAATTGCAAATGTTACTAAAAAAGTCTATTTTGCAACATTTTTTAAAACAGTATAACTTTATAAAAAAATTGTAAAAAAATTTGTTAAATATGGATTTGTTAAGGTATTATATATAATGAACTTAAAAGCTCATATTTTTTGTATCTAGGAGCCGATTCCAATGAGCTATACAAAAATTTTAAAAAGACATTTTTCTCCATTTTCAATGTCTATCTTTAACATCTGCCATTTTGTATAACATTTTTTATCATTCAATTCTGGTCTTTTGCATTAATAAAAAAATGTTCAAGCTTTAATTTAAACGTTGGTTCATCTGAATACTATGATTTTTTACTAATTACAAATTAGCAATTCAAAGATGTCAAAAAATTAAGCTAAAATTTGACCCATTTTTTGTGGTTAAATATATTAATAATTATAGGAACTTGAGATCTGTGCATATATAGTATTCTGCAACCATTATACAATACTCTTTCAATGACGTTTTATTTTGCAGATTAGCTTAAAAAATCTGAAGATTTAGGAAAATGATGTGGAAATCAGAGTAGTTTTTGACTTATGAGTAATTATAATGATATTAAACTCATGTGACAAAGTTTGCATCAAAATCTGTAGCTATGTATGCATACATTTTAATCTCAGAATTGCTTTAATCACTGAACTATTCAATGGAAAAGAGCTAATCCATGTTGTATCAAGTCTTATATTATATATAATTATATTATATATAATTATATTATATATAATTGTAATTATATATTATAGTCTTATATTATATATAATTGTAATTTATTGTGAAAAAAGAATCTCTTCTGATTATTCTATCCTTATAGAATTAATTTATCATTAGTAAGTCCAATTAATCACTTATTTCAAGTACTTAAATTACTAATATATAGTAAAAATAAGGGTATGTCTTTTAAGCATATACACAATAAAAGCTTTTATACAAAAGCTTCATATATATTAAAAGTTTAGCGACAGTTGTTATAATTTTAAACAAATTAAAAAACGTCAAATTTATATCTATTTAAAAATTTGTATAAAGAAATATTATTTTAAAATATTTTAGAGTGCTTATCTTTTTTGCAGTTTTGCTACAAAAGTGATACTACCGATGACACCAAAATATAATGAGAGTAAATATTATCGTATTAATGTTTTTAATATTTTTATATTAGATTTATTTTTGTAATTATAGATTATTTTGTAATTATTTTTTGTAATTATCTCTAGAATATATTAAAGTATTAAATATTGTTAAATGGTTGCAGAACATCTTGTATATCTATATCTTGTATATATATGTATATATTGTGTAATCTCAACAATATCAATCAATCTCACCAATAGTTTATAGAATCATAATATTATTCTGACAGCTTAAAAAAATTGATTAACATAAATAATTTCATGCAAAACATATTATAAAACATGTTTTAATTGGAAATAAAATTTCAGATTATACCAATATTTTGAACAAGATGACAAGTGCGGCTATGAAGAAAATCGTTTCGATTCTACATCGAACATTTTATTGTATTATAAATACATCCACATATTACATATATACATATAAATATATATATATATATATATATATATAAAGATATTTTCCCCTTTCTTACAATTATTAAAGAATAAAAAATTTATATCATCTCTCTTTCTCTCATCTTTATTCTTTATTTGTAAGAATATCAAAGTTATTTGTTGTAAATTGTAATCTATAATAAATTGTAACTATATGTGATTATTAATAATCGGCAATAGTTAAAGCAATTAATAAATTGTTCGTAATAAATGATAAAATAACTATATAAACTATTTTCTTATTTGAGAAACTGTTTTTTCTCAATTTTTTAATTAAAATTTTATTGAAATTTTAATTAAAAATGTGTGAAAATCATTTTATTTTATAATTATATTTTGATTCTCAAAGTCAATTACCTTGTAATTAACAATAAATTTAAATTTAAATTAAATCTTACAAATTAAATAAGGAAAAAATCTCTTTTTAACATTAATTTTAATATATATGCGTTTTTATTTGTGTATTGTGTGTTGCGTGCGTGTGTTTTTTTTTTATTAATACAAATCGTTTAATTTTTTCATAAAAAACTATATTTATAGTAAAAAAAGAAAAATCTTAATCTTATCTTTCTTACGATTTGATTTTTTTAAATATGAGTAATTGAAAATTTTATATATATATATATATATATATATATATATATATTACTATTTTATTATACTTATATATAGAATATCAGTTATGTTATACAAATTATCAAAAATAAAATAAACATAGGATATATAAATAAGAATTAAAAGTAACAAATTAATTGTTCAAAAAATTATAATTATATGAAATTATTTGCACACGCGCGCAAATATGTATGAATGTGTGCATACGTGCGTATATGCATCTCTTCTGCGTATGTTTTTATGCATGTTGGGTAAACAAATATTTTTATTTAAGTTTAAAATATATAATTATAATAAATACAGAATGTATGTAACATTTTAAAATTTGCTATAAATTTTATAATTAATTTATATACAAACAATAATATATAAGACTTTTTTTCTATTGAGTGTGCAATATGTCAGCAAATAGATAGCAAATTCAATCATAAATTTGCAGTAGATCGACTGCATCTTGTATGTTTTACTGACAGAATCTGCTGATATAAGACGTAAAATGCGACAGTAAAATGGTGAACAGAACTGACAATGAGTAGAATCTGTGCGTAGATTAGCAGCAAAACCAAGCACGATTTGCAAATTCAAGCTATTTAAATAAAATAATATAAATTGATTACTGAACCTTCCTGTTTTACCAACAAAGTATATAATAATTTTTATACATACTAATCTTTTTATTAATTCGATAGAATATTAAATGTTTTTTCACGATGAAAATGACAGCAATAAAGGTAAGAATGCCCGATTTTATGTTAAAAACCCCCAAAAATTAGTAAATTCTTTATTAAACTGATAAGGCGACAGACATAATCGTAGTTCCATCTGATAAGGACAGACTTAATCGCAAAAAGATCGGCCTATTCGCGCGAGTACAAGCGCACGATGAGAATAAGAGACCTCATCATTACATGATTGTTACCAATCCGACATTAGATCATATGGTAGCAAATCTTGCTCGGTTTTTGCAACCAATCTTTTTACTTAATCGATAATAATAGCTCCTGTACCAAATTTGTAATCTTTTATTGATAACAATTTGTAGCAGGCACTTGGCAAAATCTGTTTAAACAGATTTGGCTAACTGGATAAAGGCTTTTAAATATTTAACTTTCCTGTAAAAGTTAATAATTGTTATTAAATTATAAGAGTTAAAGTAAAAATAATTTAATCACGTGTGTATATACAGCATATGTATGTATTAGGTATACACATAAATGTGTATATATTGTGTGTATACAGCTTATACATATAAGAAAGAAAATGGGTATATTAAAATTGTAATTTATTTTACTTCAAAAGTTGCGATAAGTGACCAAAATTTAGAATAATGGTGCAACAATAAAAACAGTTATATTATTTCTAATTAATTGATCCTGTTAAAAATGTGTAAAAATGGTTAACGAACAAAGTTTTATATCCAATGATTATTATAAGTATATTAAAGTATATCTTTATCTGATACTATAATAGGCCTTTTTGTAAAAAAAATTATTGTATATTGCTAACTATTTGTATTGCTAACGATAAGTATAAGCAGTATAAATATTTCGAAATATGTATCAAATCGATTAAAAATTGCATACATAAGATTAATTATAAAATATATTTTGAAGTCAATATATTGTGGTGTAATTTACATATTCTAAGATCACATGCTTATTCCATAATTAATTATAGCAATAGAAAGTAACTATAAAAAACAAAAATAAATTATTTGCTTGCGCCGAATTTATATGCTTTTACAAGTGTAACTTTTTTATTTGTACCATTATTTTTCTGTAAAAAAAAGTATAGTTTATTATTTAAAAAAAAAAAACAGTTTATATGTATTTTTAAAAATTATTGTATTTTTTTTGTTGGACTAAACCTTAACACATGTTTTTAGAAAAAGATTGATATATTTTACAATTTATTACAGTCAAAGTGTATTGTAAAACTTTTAAAACTACATATTTTTGTTATAACATTTTTTTCTATATAATAATAAATAATCTTTGCTCTAATATTTTCTAATAGCATATATCTGCAGAATGAAATAATGTGCTGCGCACTTTGTCTTCCTCTATAGAAATTGCGATACTTAATTATATATATGTATGTATCTCGCGCGATTATCTAGATATGCACTTTATATATTAATTTAAAGTTAGAAGAACATAGTAATAAAGTAATTTTTTTTATTTAAACTGTTCGATCCCTTTTAAGACTATATAACACATATGTTATAATCAATTTTTTCTATAACCTATAAACCTAAACTATAAGTTTTAAAATATTTTCCTCAAGCATTATTCTTAAGTCTGAATGAATAAGATTAAATAAATTCATATTGTATAAATATCAAAATATTATATTACAATCATAGACTTATTTATACATATAAAAAATTGAATATTCGCGCATTTGTGTGTGTGTATATGCGCGCGCGTGCGCGATAGTGCACTGATGAGAAGATTGATGAACAGATGAGATGCACGGTAAGATGCTTTCTCCGTCACACAATGCTCTGGGAAAAGGTGATATAGGAGAAAAATGAAAAGTATGACATAGCTATTTCTCCTCTTTCGTCCTCCCAACAAAACTGCACAATCGGACTAGGAAAGCATTTTACTACATTGTCCTGTGTCATTATAATATAATGTTGTCTTTAAGCCTCGGGAGCGCTTTGTCTATATTATACAAATCTATGATCTCTCAACATATGATTGTATTTTGTATGAATCGTAAAAATGCAAATATAATTTATAAAAAAATAAAATAGACTTTTGAAAAAGAAATAGGGTTAAAAAAATAAAAATTATTCACTGACATAAAAATTATTACAGTTGATTTTTTGAATTGAACTATATATTTTGGCATAAATATATAGTTCATGCATTAATTTCCAAATGTTGATAGTTAATGTAGTTTTTTTCTAATTTATGTAGAAATTCACTTTTATTTTCTTTAAAATTATTTTAATTTTTGTTTTCTTTGTTGTACTCATAGCTACTAAAAAAAGAATTCATATATCTAATGAATTAATCCACGCATAAAATAAAAAATACTCATCCGTATTTTATAGTATATTTGCTATTAAGAAATACAGGGTATCTCAGACCACCCGTACATGCCGAATATTTTGAAAACGATTTTAAAGTTAACCATGAGACTTCTTTCATAACTGCTGCCAAGGTCAAATATTTATCATCATTTTATGTATTTGTTAAACCCCTACAACTTTTGTTTAAAATATTTTTATCTGTCGTGCTCAGTTTTCAAAATATTTAGCGCATGTACGGGTGGTCTAAGACATCCTGTATAATATTTGTTATTATTGATACATAGATAAGATTTTTTCACAAGTTATTATATTTCTGAAACAATCGATTGATCTTTTCGGCTTATTATTATCAATTATAATTACTAATTAATTAAGGAAGGAAGATATAGCTTAAAGCTGTGACCTCCAAGTGCCCGTCTCCGCTCACGTTTATTTATTTTGCGGACTGTTGGTCGTTAGGAAACTTCTGGGCACACTAAGCTCAGACAAACTCAAAAAAAAATATTCGATTCTTGAAAATGACAAGATTTATTGTAGAACAAGCAAATCTTAATCGCGTCGGCCGCAGTCAATTACAACTCAATTACAATGTAATGCTCTATAAAATATCTCGGGGACTGTTGAAGACGAAGTGTCCGCGATCGTCTCTTCTTCCTATGTCCTAATCCAAAATTTGCTTCTGAAAACAAACGATTTCTACCGAACGTTCCTCACTATGTTTTCACGCTTGTTGCCGCTGTTTTTCGCACGTGTTATCTGCGTGATCTCACCGTCGTCCGCGCGTTCCAAACAGAAGAAGTGTAATATTATCCTGACTTAAGTTCGTATCGTGCTTATTTCTAATGTTTTTATGTCTATAATATATTATTGTTCTATTTTCATAATGTCGACATGTAGCGCTGGAACGTTTCTTAGCTTGTTTGCTGTCAGAATAATACAGAACAGTAAAGGCTGGTATATATACTGACCGTAACTTTTTGCTGTAACCGTAAATTTAAGGATTCAACCAATCGTGTTGCTTGATTCGGCAACGCGATTGGTTGAATCCTTAAATTTACGGTTACAGCAAAAAGTTACGGCCAGTATAAACCAGCTTTAATTTACATAATTTTTCGGTTTTAAATATTTTTAAGGTTTTTTTTAATTTTTATCTTACCGGAATATCACTTTATATAGAAAAAAAATTATAAATATAAAATTGTTTTATATCCATGACACAAAACACACAGTCAAACAAAATATTTTACAATACACAATATACACCTCCTTCATCTCGGCCAATAGAGCCACACGCGATGTTATTGCGACAATTAA